CCACATTAAGGACAACAATGCAATTGCTGGGCCCAAGCCCTTGCCTCTAGAAAGGCTTTGCATTCCCCAGAGCTCCCTATTTTCTCTCTCTCAAGATGTTTAGGCATATGCTGGCAGGCTGATGTGTAATTTCAGTCATTTTCTGGTATACTCCTAAAACTTGTCAGAAGAGTGAATTATAGATGTTTCTTAAATCACTTAAGAAAGAGGTGGGGTGTGTCAAAGTCTGGATTAGTCAAGTTTTGAGGAAGCCAGGACTCTCTATGGCACAGAAAGGAGGACTTCTGCCTTATCGTAATCTTAGAAAGATTTAATGTGAGCATCCCAGGGATATGCATAAATTTGCCGATTTGATCACTGTGTTAGCTTGGATCTGCACTGCATCTGTATTTGCTGTGAGCACAAACACAGCGCCCAAACACGAATCAAGGAACGTGAAAGGCACCACAGACTAACTCAACCAGAGAAGTCAGCCATAGCAGAGCAGTGGGTTGTTGTAGGKTTTTCGGGCTATATGGCCATGTTCTAGAAGCATTTTCTCCTGACGTTTYGCCTGCATCTATGGCAAGCATCCTCAGAGGTTGTGAGGTCTGTTGGGACTAGGAAATTTGGGTTTATATATCAGGGTGGGAGAAAGAACTCTTGCCTGTTGGAGCTAGGTGGGAATGCTTCAACTGACCACCTTGATTAGCATTTGATGGCCTGGCGGTTTTTTGGTGTGGCTTGTTAGTGCCTTCGACAATACRTAGCAGAGCACTTGATGAACCAACCTGGACACACCATATTATTTGAGAACACAGAAATGYTTGACCATTCTAACAACTACCATGTCAGGCTACATAAAGAAGCCAATGAGATACACAAGCGTGTGGACAATTTCAACAGAAAAGAAGAAACCATGAAAATGAACACAATCTGGCTACCAGTATTAATAAAACCTCTAATATAGTAGTTCTCAACCTGGGGGTCAGGACCCGGGGGGGGGGGTCGCAAGGGGGTGTCAGAGGGGTCGCCAAAAGACCATCAGAAAACACAGTATTTTCTGTTGGTCATGGGGGTTGTGTGTGGAATGTTTGGGCCAATTCTATCGTTGGTGAGATTCAGAATGTTCTTTGATTGTAGGTGAACTATAAATCCCAGCAACTACAACTACCAAATGTCAAGGTCTATTTTCCCCARTCTCCACAAGTGTTCACATTTGGACATATTGAGTATTCATGCTAAGTTTGGTCCAGATCCATCATTGTTTGAGTCTACAATGCTCTCTGGGTGTAGGTGAACTACAACTCCAAAATTCAAGGTCAATGCCCACCAAACCCTTCCAGTCTTTTCTGTTGGTCATGGGAGTTCTGTGTGCCAAGTCTGGTTCAATTCCATCGTTGGTGGAGTTCAGAATGCTTTTTGATTGTAGGTGAACCCTAATATATCCCAGCAACTACAACTCTCAAATGATAAAATCAATCTCCCTCAACCCCACCAGTATTCAAATTTGGGTCTACTGGGTATTTGTGACAAATTTGGTCCAGTGCAAGAAAATACATCCTGCATATCAGATATTTACATTAGAATTTATAACAGTAGCAAAATTACAGTTAGGAAGTAGCAATGAAAATGTTATGGTTGGGGGTCACTATAACATGAGGAACTGTATTAAGGGGTCATGGCATTAGGAAGGTTGAGAAACACTGCTCTAATATCAGGACAGTAAAGAAAGAGCAATACTCTGAAAAGAGGGGCATTGCAAACAGAAAACAATCAGGGCCAGCTAACACCTCCCAACAGCAGGAATCAGCCAGGCCTTGAAGCTGCAAGGCTTTGCAATGCTAATCAAGGTATTTAATTGCAACATTCACACTTGCCTCCAACGGAAAAGTTCCCGCGTTGGACTTTCAACAGATATATTAGATATATCTAATTGATCTAAATTTATTTTGCCTGCAAACACCTATATGAACCAATTGGGGAGTGATAAGGTTGGGAAAAACCTACATGTTAACTGAACTAGCTGTAATACTGGTTGTGTTTAGACAGCACTGGGATGATGGAAGAATTTCTTTGATATTACACCTTTGTGTAACTGGAGGAGGGTGGTGTGGAAGAGGAGGGAACTATCACTCATTGCTTGGACTAAAACTCTGCCCTGCTGAGGTATTCTCAGTTGCACTCTGGGAGCTTTTTGAGAGAAATCAGCAGAAGTAGTTTAAGAGATTTGCCAAAATTAAGTTTCTTTGGATTCACACCTTCTCCTTTGTACTACACTATTCTCCCCCTAGGGCACAGGAACATTAAAGGCCATTCTGGAGTGAATTCATCTTGGATTTGTCCTATAATTACACTGCAAAAAACACCATCCAGGGCAAAACACCTGTTCACTTGGCAGCTTCTAAATTCACCTTGGATATTGCTGTCAAACACTTCCACAAACTGAAAGAAAAGCTCCATTACTAAGTGTTAAATTGCAAATAACTATGTAAAGTTATTAAAATGCACATTCAAGTCAATGGAAATGGGAACCTATCTTATTATCAGTTGTTTAAGTATGTGCACTAAAATCTGTATCTATTTAGAAATGTCTTGGTGCATTCAACAGGGCTTATGCCTAGGGTATAAGTCTGCAGCAGAACGTGTAGCAAGACTCCGATATATTTCCATTCAGATCCTCCCCATCTATATTTCTACAATTTGAAATGTTCTGGCTTCCATATTTTCCATAGAACAAAGCTCAGAGACATCTGGGTCCATTGCCCTACTTCTTTTGACTGGGAAGTGCTGCTACTTTAAAAAGTGAAGGCACAGCTAGTTTGAAGCCAGCCCGGGTAAGAGTGAGCTCCCAACCATTAATAGTCTAGCTTGCTGTTGACCTATGCAGCCCAAAATTTCCTACTTGCATCTGTCAAGTAGGAAATTTAGGTACCACTTTATGCGGGGAGGCTAATTTAACTAATTCACAATACCATAAAAACCTCCAGCAGCATGCGGAAAAATGAGGAAGTACTCCATCAAAGGACTCAGTGTCACAAGTGGATGGTGAAGTGGCAGCTCTCCCGGTGGCCAGAATCAAGCATATCCTCATGAAGCCGGAAAACTGGAATGTTAAATTGCCTCTGTGTCTGTCTATATATGTTATACTAGCTGTCCCCTGCCACACGTTGCTGAGACCCAGTCTGTGTAGATGTGTTTTGTGTGTGTATATATTTGTGTTTGCGCATGTTCCACATCCTAGTCTCTAGGGCAGCAGAAAACAAGCTTCCTTTGATCTACAGTGATAGAATTACATGCTAAGAGTTTTCTAGGTTCAGAAAAGAGCTACTATCCCCTTTCTTTCACTGAGAGGGCCTTCTCAGTGGTAGCCCCTCAACTCTGGAACTCACTTCCCAGGGACATCAGACATGCCCCAACTTTGGCATTTTTAGGAGGAGCCTGAAAACGTGGATGTTCCAGTGCCTTCCCAAAATAAGGAGAACTCTCAGCAATATGCCCTCATAATGCACTTTAATATTGACTTAGGATGGGTTGCGTTCCCTCATTTCTCTCTGAATAATCCTATCCCAGTTAATTTTTTTTTACCTTGTTCACGTCAGCATATTTTCAATTTTAACCTACTATACGCGGCCCGGCCATTTTTAACATTGTTTATATGTCACCATTGATTGTTTTTGTTTATGTGATTTATGATTTGTATTTTATTGATTGTTTACTGATGTTGTGTTTATTGATGTTTCGTTTGATGTACTTTGGGCTTGACTTATGTAAGCAGCACCAAATCCCTTGGGGAGATGGTAGAGGGGTACAAATAAAGTTGATTATTATTATTATTATTATTATTATTATTATTATTATTATTATTTATATTATCCTGTCCCATTGCCATATGCAAGTATGTCCTCCCCTCTATTTTTTTATGAATTCCCACTTTGTTGTTCTTTGTCTTCAAGTTGTTTCTAACTTATAGACAACCCTATCAAGGGGTTTTCTTGGAAAGATTGGCCGTCCTCTGAGGCTGAGAGAATGTGACTTGTCCAAGGTCACCCAGTGGGTTTGTATGGTCAAGTGAGAATTCAGACCCTGGTCTCCCAGAGCCATAGGCCAAGGTTCAAAAGGTTGCACCATGCTGGCTGTCCCTACTTTCTTCTTACTTTACTTCCTTAAAAATGTACCCTAAAAAGAAAACTTGTTTTCAAATTCTACAAATGCATGGCAACTGGTTCTGTTTCTATGCTTTGCTTGAGCCTTTTTAAAACTCAGGCTTTATTCCAATTGATCACAATACTAGAAATCGATTGTCAAAACCCATCTTTTCTGAATAAGGATCTGGCAGGGGCATCTGGGTTCCTAATCTTGTTTCTTCAACCCTATTACCTTATTTTCTAAGACATCTTCATTTTGAGAGAAAACAGGCAATCCGATTTTCAACCTAAGAAGTAATGAAATGGGATGTGGGGATAAAAATGGAAGACTTTCTCGCCTGATAATAAGGATCTGGCCAGATTAAAAGCAAAATCCAATTTAACTGCACCTCAGCAGCAACATTAACTGAATTACATGATGAAAGGTTTGGGGCACAAGGAAGAGGGACTGCAATACAAATGTATATTAACATTTAGATGAGGGGTCCAAGTAAATAAATGTAATGTAAGTTATACAAATTATAAGTGCATGGGTTGTTGTAGGTTTTTTCGGGCTATAAGGCCATGGTCTAGAGGCATTCTCTCCTGACGTTTCGCCTGCATCTATGGCAAGCATCCTCAGAGGTAGTGAGGTCTGTTGGAACTAGGAAAAAGGGTTTATATATCTGTGGAATGACCAGGGTGGGACAAAGGACTCTTTTCTGCTGGAGCTAGGTGTGAATGTTTCAACTGACCACCGTGATTAGAACACAATGGGTTGACTGTGCCTGGAGCAAACTTTTATTGAGAGGTAATTAGATGTCATTAAAGTGCATGCATTTTATAAAATGTATTTATACCTGTATTTTACCTAGAAGAATATAAAGCACTCACCTGCTGCAGGTCTGCCAAGGAATAGAGGTGAATCTGCTGAAGAAGATACTCTCTGGGAAAAATTCTTGAAGAAAAAAAAGAAAAAAAAGAGAGAAAGTGAGCATTTCTGTGGCTTTCAAATCTTCTCTGAAAACTCCAGAGTTAGCTAGTTTAGACTACAGCAGGTAAATCAAGAGGTCCGTATAGTTCTTTAAAGACTACTGTAACGAAGATCAACGTACACTTTGGCAGGGGGGCAAAGCAATCCCACCACTGCCCACCAGTGTGAAGGGTTAACGTTCAGCTGGACACTACTTTAACGATGATAAATGACTATGACAAGGGGGAAAGACTCTCTTATCCCACCTCAATATTATTATTAAGTGACCAACTGTATTAACGTTGTTAATGACCGATGTATTAGGTAGATTCGCCGCCACCACCTCAATTGATGTCTGAGGAAAACGTAAGTGTGAATGTGAAATAGGTAAAATATGTTCAAGCCCTTAGTTCTTCTATAATGGCTGCTTCTCTCGCTGACTGGACTGAAATTGAATTGTCTTTAGGCTAGCTGAGATCTATTGATTGTGACAGACCGAGGCAGACACCAGTTTAAAGATGAAAATTAGAAACAGGTTTATTTAAACTTAGTGAACAAATCAACTCTTAAAAAGAGTGGTACAAAAGTGTAATGTGGTTACTGAGGCTTAGCTGGTTAGACAAGCAGTCTTCTCTTAAGACTTTAACTTTTGTTTCCTGTGAGTTCCTTGCTTCACACTGCTCACTACTTTGACACAGTGTGTCCCTGAGAACAGTCCACTGACTGCCTCACAGAGCAAACAGGCATTCCTTCACTGACCCTAACATGTACAGTGCTCCAGGAACCTTTGCCTTTCCTATGCTCTAAACCCCAAGGCTCACTTCAAAAGTTCTCTCTCCCTGTCTAAATTCTTCATAGCTCCCTCTTCCTAACAATCCTTCTACACTCTTCCTTGTTTAAAGCTCTTCTCTCCAGCTTGTCAAAAAGACACAGCCTTTTTTCCCTCTAAAAGCTGACTCCTCCCCTGATTGCTCTAGCTAATCAGGAGTCGGCTGACTCCTCCCTCTTGCCTCTTAACTTTCCAGCCTATCTCCCAACATGTCAGCTACTGACTTCAGGCTTCGGCCTTCCTGGCAAAAGGTTAGATTCGTCACAACTACCATATATATTAATGAATAAGTAAAATAAATGGATAGAAATTGATCTCCAAAACCTGGGTTGACCTATGCACAGGCCAATGCTGGAACAGGCAGCTAGAGCAAAGGCTGTGACTAGAGACAGAAGCAAGAAGCTCCCATCCCATTACTCCTCCCTCACCTCAAATGGAAACTGAAAGGCAGCCATTCCTCAGCTTTTACTTCCACAGAAGTATGTGGGGAAGCCTGAAGAAGGCAGTATATCTGTCATTTTGAGTGCCTGAAGTGGAGTGGTATGGTGGCCGCCATTTTTAATAAAGGATTACTGCATAAGCCTCTCTGCCGAGTGATCGTGGCAACCATTTTTAATGGGGACTGTAAAAGCCTGTCTGTCCCTGTTCAATGGCCATTGTGCTGGGTCTTTCATACAGGCATATTGCTTCTCTTTTCAATACTGCTCTTTGTTTCAGGCTGCATTATTTTTTGTTCATTTATATTCCTTTTCCCATCTGTACTGCGATAGATGTAGACATATGAAGATCAGTAATGGACAATTTATACCCTCCTATTGTAAGCTCTCAAATAAACAGAGCTTCTCCTTCCTTTTAGCTTTCCCCAAACATGTTCTATCTATGCATTTATAAAGAAAAATAAAAGTTTTGTTTTTGTACACTCCTAAGTTTTACCCTAGACTTATTTACTTACCATAGCAAAATTCACAATTTTTGCCCTATAACCGACCTTTCTTAATTTATACATTGCACTTTTAATGTTAAATATAATACAAATTAATAAAAAAGGAAAATAATAAAGACATGTGACTGGTGTTAAAGGTAAAAGTTTCCACTTGACATTAAATATAGTTGCGTCCAACTCTGGGGGATGGTACTCATCTCCATTTCTAAGCCGAAGAGCCTGCATTGTCCATAGACCCCTCCAAGGTCATGTGGCCAGCATTTATTTATTTATTTTGTGCATTTCTACTCCGCGCTTCTCAACCCCCGAGGGGGGATTCAGGGCGGCTTACAAAAGGCACAATTCGATGCCAACAACAAACAATAAGATAGAAACATGTATCAATAGCCATTATAAACAATTAAAACAAGCAAGATATATATCACGATCAATAAAACCAATCTAATGTTCAACATTCGCCAGCTCAGAATCCGTAGGTTCATTCCACATTGTCAAATCCTATCAATTCTAGTCGTCATTATCCTTTGTCTATCTGCCAGATTACCCAAAGGCCTGGTCCCATATCCATGTTTTTAGTTTCCTTCTGAAAGAGAGGAGGGATGTCGATGACCTGATTTCCCCGGGAAGTGAATTCCACAGGCGAGGGACTGCATGGATTGCTGTTACCTTCCTACCAAAGCAGTACATATTGATTTACTCATATTTGCATGTTTTCAAACTGCTAGGTTGGCAGAAGCTGGGGCTAACAGCAGGAGCTCACCCTGTCCACGGATTCAAATCGCCGATCTTCTAATCAGCAAGTTCTGCAGCTTAGCAGTTTAATCCACTGCGCCACCGGGGTCCTTACACGACTTGTGTTACTAGTATTGTTAGATATACCTATGACTTTATCCTTGTATGAAAAGAGGACACAATCAGAATACCCATCAAGCAAGTTCTCATTGGACAGAGACCATAATCTACATCTCGCCAAAAGTTTAAGGGTTGTTCATGGGGTCCTCTGGATAAACTGTCATCACAGCACTGGATATCAAACAAAGTGAGATCAAACATCCCAGAATATAGGGACAACAGCCTTTATAGAATTTGTTACTGGTCTCAATTTCTTTTAGACATTGTGTTTGCTAACATCTTCATCAACAAGACTTGCTAATTTATTTATCCAGTTTAGCTCAGTCTCTTCCAATCCTTCTAGCATCTGATGGTTTCTGAGTGCACCACGACTTGTGATATAATCCACTATTTTGCATTCTTTATGATAGAAGCCACAGTTTCTTTTCTAAAAACAGCGACAGTGGTTACACTAGCCTACAAGGTAATATCTGTGATATCTGAAATAAAGCCAAGAATGTATCCCTCAAAATTCCTGCAATTTGGGGAGTTTCAATAAAATAAGGACAAAGGTAGATTTAAAGACTGGATGAAGACAGAGTGAAGACAAAGGGGAGCAGAAGACAGTTCCACCTTGTCTTTACTAATAATATAATATAGTATATTGTATATACATATAATATTTATAATATTACTAGCTGTCCCCTGCCACGCGTTGCTGTGGCCCAGTCTGTTGATCTGGAAAATAAAGTAATGAGAAAGTGTTGGATTCTAATATATGTAATTTCTTTATGCTTGTGGGTAAACAGTATTTCTTGTTTCTTTGTCAGTGTTGATGTGGAGAGTGTCTGGTTTGCCTACTCTGGAATACGCAACATATCATTGTCCTTCTTTAGGGGTCCCTTTCAAATCTATGATACTATATCTCTCTGTGTGTGAATCATATCTATCTATCTCTCTATATCTATGGCTGGATGACTCTTTGTCAGGAGGACTTTGATTATGTTTTCTTGCCCTGGTGAAGGAAGTTGAATTGGATGGTCTTAAGTATTTTCTGTTGGTCATGGGGATTCTGTGTGGGAAGTTTGCCCCACTCCTATCATTCGTGGGGTTCAGAATGTTCTTTGATTGTAGGTGAACTGTGAATCCCAGTGACTACAACTCCCAAATGTCAATGTCTATTTCCCCCAAACTCCATCAGTGTTCATATTTAGGTGTATTGAGTGCTTGTGCCAAGTTTGGTCCAGAGCCATCATTGTTTGAGTCCACAGTGCTCTCTGTATGTAGGTGAACTACAACTCCCAAACTCAAGGCCAATGCTCACCAAACACTTCCAGTATTTGCTGTTGGTCATGGGAGTTCTGTGTGCCAAGTTTGGTTCAATTCCATCACTGGTGGAGTTCAGAATGGTCTTTGATTGTAAGTGAACTATAAATCCCAGGAACTACAACTCCCAAATGACAAAATTATAATTTTTGAGTGATGGTCACTCCTTGTGTTGTGAGATGTTTTGTTGCCAAATTTGGTGTGATTTCCTTCATTGGACTTTTGTTTTTAAGGTACTCATTACACACAGAGCATTTTATTTATATATATATATATATATAGATAGATAGATAGATAGATAGATAGATATAGATATAGATATAGATAGATAGATATAGATATAGATATAGATAGATAAATAGATATAGATATAGATAGATAGATAATGTAATACAATACTAGTAATAATAATACAATATTATAATTATAATTATATATTTACATTACATGTAATTATACTAATAATATTACAATATAATGGTATAGTGCAATATAGTAATATATAATACCGATATTGTACTATGCTAATAATATAATATATTGTATGAAAATATGTCTTGTAAGCCGCTCTGAGTCCCCTTTGGCGTGAGAAGGGCGGTATATAAATGCCGTAAATAAATAAATATCTGGATAAGAAACCATGCAAAGTTTATTATCTCTTGATGAAAGTGTGCCTTACATATAATTTTGATTTGCATTCTTGAATCACATTCTCCTTATAAAACCCAGTTATAAACCTGTGCTATATATTTGCTTGATAATTTAACAACTACAGATGTGGTACTATTCTTCCTCTGTAGTCTTGTGTAAACCTTTGAAATGATAATGTTATTTTCTTAATTTTGGATCAATGGTAGATTATACTATTTGTATCTTTTTCTTATGAACCAAGAGTGGTGTTCCAAAGATTTGCTATTGTTGTTATTGCTTTTTAAAAACATAATGCTATATATACCTTGCAAGTCTGCATTACCTAACCAAAAACATGTATTAATTAACAAAAAGATATCCAGTTCTGTACCAGAGAGAAGGACTCTTCATAAAGCCGCAAATACA